TACACATTCACCTGTCGTCATAATGATCCGAACGTAACCAGCAGCAGAGCTATGCTCAAGGATTCCATTTATAATCCTATAATTATGAAATAATGAAGGGAGAACGGGTAGCTGTATGTTTCACATTACGGATCCAACAATATGGCACTCCCTGCTTAAGTATCTATCAATATAGTTAATGCTTTGAGTTATCATATTTCGGTAACTCTGTTGATAAATATGGCTTGTTAATGATGCCTTAGCGCGAACAGCGTTATCAGAACAAATATCGTTCCAAAGTATTGAATTTAGACAGCTGATGGAACAAACTCTTTAAGGAGTACCATTTCAATACCTCGGCCAGATTCAAGCTCATCTGATATGAGTAATTCTGGATTCTTCTTAATTTTACGAAGCGATCTCGACAGCAAAGGCCAGAAAATGCATAAACAGTGACATGAGTCATTCAGAGTTGAAACGAATCCAGGATGGTGATGATCCTGTGTAAGCATTGCCCGAAGTTCAGAATTCGAATCGGAGGGGAGGGGGTTTTCGAGTGTGCGTGAGTTGTGTTTGAGTCACAAATAAACTTGAATTTAGGCTACATCAAAGTGGCTCGCGCAACACCTCTACCGCTTTCGAAATCCCCCATGCCTTTGCGCGCGCAGTCCGAAGTAGAACATCCGATCCGAAACCCGATCGTTCCTCGCACGGTTAGCTCTACGCTGCCGTTACTGCACCCGTGCGCCCTGTACCCTTTAGCCTACGGCATCCCTCGCTCTCGCATGCCGGACGTTGCTTCGACCCTTCCGGTCGGCTTCGAGCTGTGGAACACTTGTGCCAACCTTTTCTGCCATGCAATGTACTCTGGCAGCGTGCTGCCACCGCACCCGTTGTCATCGTCAGCTCAAAATTTTCCAGTTGGCCCGTCTGGCATGGACACATCGTATCTGCCTCCGCCGCCGCCGCCACCACCACTACCGAATGTGTCGTCGGATTTTAAGGAGATTCGTCCATCGTCGCATTGTCACCAGAAGATGATGGACGAAGAAAGCGATGGTGGTGGCTCCGCCGCAGTTTCATTTCTGGAACGTTCCTCAGTTGTGGTACCGAACAAAAGGTTCGCCGGCGACAGACCGGCGGCAACTCACGCTAACGGAGGGACGAGTGTGGCTGCGGTTCACAATGATGACCCTACAGTTAGTGCTGGTCGCACTGTCAGATCGGTTGTGGATGGCGGGACTCAGACGAGTCCGGAAGATTTTTCATGAACGCTTTCGTCGTCTTCGTCCTCCTCCATCTCGTTCTCATCATGTTTATTGTTTCGCGCCAATGCGCGCAGCTTTTCTAACTGCCCAACGGTCGAAGAAGCGTTCGAACTCGTTGCAACGACTCGACTCTACGTTGGTTAAGCGGCCGACACCGTACTGTTTGTTCATAAAACTTGCCAAACTTTATTTCGCTGCCAATATTTTACTGTTTTTTCGTGTACCGGTTTTACTTGGTCAATCTTTACAGCAGCTGTACGAAATAAGTTTAGGTAAAATACAGTTTTACTATTGAAAAACTCTTGTCGTTGAAATCTTTTTCATTTATTTTTATTTACGCACGTACTGCGTTGACCGCAAAATACTGATCCTCAGGTCGGCGTCGGTCGTCGTCCGAACTACAGCGTCTCCACTCAGGTGTCCAGTCTTAAGCATTTGCGCCTCCGATATTGTCAGACAACAGTACAACACTGTAAATGTTTCGTGGAAATCGGCTACCTGGCAACCGTTTCATGACCGGCCGCATCAGAGCCGGTCCTGCGCGGACTTAGAGCTCTCAGGCTGTGCTTAACAGGCGCTCGCTCGAAATAAACGCAGTTACCTGACGTCGTTTGAGTCGGTGTGCCGACCAAGATCTGTCGCACAGATGTAATGAAGATCCAATCAAATCCGATGTCGTTGGTTTCTAGTCCGGTTTCATTCGTTAGTTTGATTTATAGTTTACGATGTCACGTCACGGACATGTTTTTGAGGCTGCTGCTGTTTAACGGGCCTCTCAGCGCAGATTCGGGAATTTCACAGGGGTCGTGGCGTAAACACGAACGCTTTACATGCAGTGTTCACAATCGCTCTTGCAATCGTTTGAAAAACTTTCATTAACAAAACAGAAACATGACTTTGCAGATGGTCAGTGAATCAGTCAGTTCGATGACTGCGTATCCCTTCGAGTCCGAAGGCAGTAACGTCAGATGATGTCTCCAACGCCCCCAGTCCAAGCTTCAGCAGAAGATGACTCGAGTCTGATGTCCGATATCCATCGAGGCATTTGCTGCAGGTCATTTTAGAGGAGTCGTCGTTTGGTCGGTTGGGCAGATACCAGCTGTGTCGCCTTCCTTTTTGGAATCATTCGCAGCACGTGCCTAAACGTAGTTAATCGTAGCTGTTACTTCTCAATCTAAAAAGGCAGCGGTTGTATACCAACTCTTTCCGGATCATGTCGCGGCGAGTGAGCCGAGCGATTCGTCTCAGGAAACCCATTTCGACCGATGGTATTGTAACCCGAATCGAAGGCTTTCGGTAGTGGACCATTACTCCTGTAGGTGAGCATAGAGATGGAAATCGACTTTAACTCAAGCAGCTTCGACTTCAGACCGTACTCTTCCTTGGTCACCGAGGCTCGGGAGAGCGCCGCTGGCCATTCCAATTTGCCGGTCGGTGAATGCATGCCGAGATGCATGAATTTCTCCACCTTTTACACGTCTCCCTCGTTTATTTTGAGAGCGTAGAGGGAAAAAGAACAAGAAAGCACTAGGCGTTTCGTTTTAAAAGCGTTCAC